AGCTGTGGGGCCTTAACGCCCAGGGTAAGGGAAAAACCAAGGTTATTTCAGTACTGGCCAAGAGAATGGCTTAAGAAGTGGGTTGACCAAAGAGAAGGAAGGGGGAAGGAAAAAGGGAGGATCTGTTTCTTCATCAGCTGTGCTGTGGGCTGAATTGTGTCCCCTCAAAATTCATATTTTGAAGCCCTACCCTGAAATGTAATGATATTTGTAGGTGAGGGCTTTGGGAGGTCATTATTAATATGTTTAGGATGAGGTCATGAGGGTGGGACTCCCATGATGGGATTAGTGTCCTTGTAAGAAGAGACACCTGAGAGCTCGGTTTCTCTCTCTCTTCCTCCCCCTCTCTGCCTTGTGAGGACACAGCAAGAAGACAGCCACCTATCTGCAAGACAGGAAGAAACCCTTTACTGAGGGAATGAGTTGGCTGGTACCTTGCTCTTGGACATCCTGGCCTCCAGAGCTGTGAGAAATAAAAGTTATTTGTTTAAGCCACCTAGTCTATGATATTTTGTTATATTGACCAGAGCCAAGAGCACTAACACAAGCCAAGAGCACTGGTTGAAGCTCTTTTCTTAGAAAATGCACACTTCTCACGTTTCCTTATAGGAAGCATTGCTGACAATTATCTAGTGCCAGAATTATGCATTTCTGTGTAGAATATACCACTTCTCGGGCCTCTGAGTTCCTCCTCTACACAGTGAAGGTGCTCCCAGTATGAGCCCATTGCCCCCTCAGTCAATTCAGGTTACTGTGTGCAAGCAAACTTTGGGGAGATACCAGAGTTTTTCCAGATTGTTTAGAAGAGGAAACCCAATAATGAGTTGGAGGCAAAGATAGGAGGATTCTCCTCTACAGAGCTGTGCCAAATGGACACCACCCAATGTTGCCAATTGGTCTGCAGGGCTTTTTAAAAAGAAGTCTGCCTCATAGTTTAATCTGTCATACGCAGATTTATGGCCTAAAACAGCACTTTTTAAACTGAGTCACAACCCATTAATGGGATGTGAAATCAAATGGGTTTAGCCAGTATTTTTTTAATGAAAATAAAATCAAACAACATAACATAAAATATTAGAGTGTATAGTTGGTAATAAGAATAGACATTGTTTTAAGAAATTGTTTCTGCTTTATACGCACACATACACGTACATGTCTCACTATCTAAATCTATTTGGTTCCTAAGCAATCATATATATATAGCAAAGGATCCTATATAATTATGGTCCAACTGATTTGCCACATAAATACATTTTTTAAATTATGAATCAGATTGGGGGTGGTACCCAAAGTCACTAGCCTGAAGAAACTAGAGGAAGTGGAATGGAAGTTTTTTAAAAAGTGATCCCAAAATAGTTTAACACACTCTTCTTTTGTCCTAATTATCTTTCATTTGGTTTCCCTGGATTTCTGTGTCTGAGAATACTTCTGGCTTTGTTATAAACATTATATCTGGCGTAATAGGCAGAAACAAAAGGTGGGGCACAACTAAAAAAAGGGCACGTTTGCATGCACAGGGTCAAACCTGCACCACAGAGCAGGCCAGGCCAATTCCTGCCATTCCATGTGCCAAACCTCTGGACAGAATCTGGATGGGAGGCGAGCTCCCCTCTCCCTTGGAAAAGCCTTTACAATGCTAGTTTCTCAAATCACTGGGCAAAAGACCAACTGCTCTCCAGGATATAGAGCCCTGAATAGGATCATGGCCAATTCCTATGTTTAAGTAAAGCTGAATTTACTGGTGTATCATGATTTTTGTAAACTTTCTGACAAATTCTATAAATAACACAGTATTTTCAAATGTGATTTTAGAAAATTAGTTTGCCTGATACTCTTAAATAGCCCCTCCACCCTGACCCCTTCCCCCCGCCCAAAGAAAAACAAAGTTATCACATCTGCCCTGGTCTGAATGTCAGAATGTCCATCCGCTGCCAGCACCTGCCTGCAGGTGGGTATAGCCTTGGAAATTTAGCTCCCCTCAAGTTCCCAAACACATGCTAAAGGTGTGTTGCCCCGGTTGCCATCAGTAGTCACTAGTTTACAAAAGATAATTGTAATGGAGGAACCAAGAAATCACTAAATCTGGAGGGGACTATCTCCACCCTAAAGCTAACCACAATAGTAGAGGCACACCAGAGGCACTGTTCTCTTAGCATGTTTATAACAACTATGTGACTGATGAATTAAATGTTTTGGCCTTAGAGGCACCCTGGCAGGCAGATCTCACAAGGCTGAGAGTAAAGACTTGAAACCAATTAACTGTACTCAACTCGATCACTAGTATAGGAAGGAAAAGGACTTTTGTCAGTCAATACCTACGATGATAATTCTATTGTATTCTCTGGCCTTATAAATTCTTAATAATTATATCTGGAATACTAATTGCTTTATGTTCTGGGTTTATTTTGTTGAAACAAATCTGATAACGAAGTGATGATATTTCTCAAAGTCTCAGTCAAATAGAGTAAGTAAGCATGCATCTCGCCAGTGCTGCCACCTACAAAGAACTTACCTAACAGTACACATCACTGCTGAAAAACAGAGTGGAAGTAAGAATTTTTAGCTTTTTTTCTCAAAGTATTCTAATTCTGTGGTCTTTTAAAGTAATCAAAAGACTAGATAGTAGTAGAGCAAGTATCTTAGTAGTGTACTCATAGTCCCGATTTATGATGGTTCGACTTATGATTTTTCTGCTTGACACTGGTGCGAAAGTGATACACATTCAGTAGAAACCACACTTCAAATTTTGAATTTTGATCTTTTCCTGGGCTAGAAATATGCGGTAGGATGCTGTCTCCAGTGCTGGGAAGCAACAGTGAACCTCAGTTCCCAGTCACGCAATCACAAAGGTAAACAGCCAGTACTCTACAGCATACTGTGTTGCCAGTGTTTTTTGAGTATTGTGTTTTGTGTTTGTGCATCTCTTCAAGTCTAAAAAATGCCCATCTGTGCACAGTATTTAAAACTTTATTAAAAAATAAACTTCTTCTTAGATAATTTTGTCCATCTGTAGGCTAATGTACGTCTTCAGAGCATGTTTAAGGTAGGTTAGGCTAAGCTATGATGTTTGTTAGGTTAAGTGTATTGAACGCATTTTCAGCTTATAGTATTTTCAACTTGCAATGGGTTTATCGGGATGTACCCCCATCATAAGTTGAGAAGCATCTATATAATTGATTCATATTTATTCTCAAAAATTTATTTCAACATGTAACACCAAACTTAAAATAAATACTTCAAATTTCTTAGGTTTTTGTCCTGTGAAGTCTATCATCCCATATGTGTGTGTAATTGGCAGTTTATTTTTTTCTATACACTTTCCCATTCCTCAAATTAAAAAAAAAAAAATTCTCAAGTTTCCTGATGGTGAAGCTTATTCATAAAGACAATGCGTGTTGACAATAAGTCAGCTTATTAGAGGCATCTGGGGTAAATGTCACTCAGAAAGCAGATTTGCTGCTGGGACAGTCCCTGCAGCAGCACCAGGCACTTCCTCGACTATGTGGCAGTTTCTGAAACACCACGTAAACAATTTTGAGTAGATTATCTCTTTAATCAGAAATTTACACTGCTCCACGGCAGCACATCATACAATTATTATAGGTTTTGAATCTTACAAAAAGAGACATCATTGTCATTTCATTTCAACCTACATACAACAGATCTTCAAATGAATATTAAAAAACTTCATGAAGAATGGAGGTTTATGTATCAAATATTTTGAAACATTTTTAAACAGTGACAAATTATTAAATTTTCATTCAGAAGTTCTGCCTTTTTTACACTCCTTCTATACTCAACAAACCTTTAATTGTAATAGCAAATTGGGGGGGTGGGCAGTGATCCTTACACCTTTCCACTAAGTACCAACATCTAGAATCCTTCTCTGTGATCTCCAGTGGTATTAAAAAAAAGAAAAGAAAAGAAATGGCTGTTAGTTAAACTATTTCCAGGAAAAAGAGAATGGAAAATGAAATTGCAAAGAAGTAGTAAGTACAGAAGCTGCAACTTGTCAACAGTTGAAATTACATCTTCAGATTCCCTATAAGAAACAGCCTAGATCTAAAATGAGCATTGAGAACAATTCTCTTTACCTATGAGAGAAAGAAAGAAAGAAAAGAAAAGAAGGAAAGTAAAGAAGGAAAAAAGGAAGGAAGGGAAAGAAAAAACTAATTTTCAATGGATAAAAATATGAGAACATATGGAATCATTTACAAGGCCAGACTGCTACCTGTTTGGATCTTCAGAGAAGGGATGAGAGGCATTTCTGCAACCCTAGGGAGAGGGTTTTTTGCATACCTAATTTAAACAAATCTCTCTAGCACATGAAAGAAGAGCAGCAGAACTCTTCTCACTAATTATCACTGCCTGGACTCCATATCCATATGCTGCTTCTCTTTAAAGCCACACTAGTTCATTATTCTGCCTTCAACTCTCTTAAATGATTCATTTCCCCCTTCACTCCTGAGCAGACTCTGCAGGGAAGCTAGTATTTAAGTTTAATTCCTAGTGCCACTTGCTTTGGAGAGCTTGACGAGGGGAAGGAGGAGGAATCTAATTTAATAATTCTGTCATGATTCGGAGGGGCAGCCTCCGCCCCCACCCCAAAAAATAACTAGACAAACAGGACCCTTTGGCAAGCTATAATCGTGAGCAAAGACAGCAATTGGGAAAGCAGGGCCCACGTGCGGTGGGAGCTATCACCCGAGGGAAGTGGCAGCCTGAGACGAGGAGGGAGGGCGGGGGAGTCCGGCTGATCCTAGCAGCTGCACCGGCCTAGGCGCCCTGGGGGGGCCCAAGTCGCACCTGAATGAAGGTTAGCTCTCTCCCAGGCACTCACTGGGCGGGGAGAAGTAGAAGGGCAGGGGGGACGGCTTCCACATCCTAGGGAGCTGTCACTGCGAGAGGGTCAATCCCCAGTGCCTGCCGAGGGCTTCCCCAGCCCGAGCCCGCGCGCAGGGCGCCTCCTGGTGCAGGGCGCCCGCCGCCCCCCGCCTTACCGTCCCAGCTCCGACTCCACCTCGAAGAAATCGCTCAGAGCATCTCTGTTGGAGCCGTCGATCCAGTAATCCGGGACGAGGCTCCCCGCCCCTGGGGCCGCACTGGCGGTGCCCGATGAGCAGGACGAGGCGGAGCAGGAGGGCACCGTGACTTTGAGCATCTTCGCAGCGGGACTCCGGAAGCCGCCGCAGCTGTCGCCTCGTGCGCCGCCGCCGCTGCCGGAGCGAGAAGCCCGGCCGCCCGCCGCCGCCTGCGAACGCAGGAGCCAGAGAGAGGCGGCGTCCTTCACACACGCACACACCCACCGCCGCCGCTCCCCGGCGCCGCCGCGCTCCGGCCGCAGCTCGCCTCCCGCGCGCGCGGCGCTGGAAGCAGGGTGGGCGGAGAAGGGGCTGAGCAACTGCGAGAGGGTGTGAGGGCGAACCCGGAGTCACCGCCAGCCCGGGAGAGGCGAGGCGGAGGCGCCGCAGAGCACAGAGCCGCCCTCCCCCTTCGCTCCTTCCCTCCCCACCGCCTTTCCTCCTCGCGCCCAGCCTCTCCAGCCCCCTCCCTTTTTCCTTTCTCCCGCCCAGGCCGTGGCTGCGGCAGGGCGGGCTAGGGCGGCTCCGGATGCCAGAGCTCCGGGAAGACACCGGGACCAGAGCATCATCCCACGCGCCCTCCCGCGGGAGCCTGGAAGGAGACCGCGCGCGGTGGGACGCTCGCTGCGGGAGTGGCGGGCGCTCGGCGCACGCGGGGAGCACATGCGTCCGAGCGGCCCGGCGTGTGGTGAGAAAGGGACCTGGGGTGCTGGCGCAACTCATCCCTCCTGGAGCGCGTCTCAGTGGCGAGTTCCTTCCTTCTAGCACCCGCTATCCAGCCACCCCTTGTTCGTCCCTCTGTCAAAGCTCGTATTGGTGGCTGCGAGTGTGTCCTGTGGTCGCCAATCCCCCAGGGCTCCTGTGCCCGGACCCAGTGAAAGCTGGAGAGAAAGGAAGCGCCGAGGTCCACGCCGACCTGACTCACCTTTGAGGGAAGTGTTCAGTTGGAACAGATGCTGTTGCTGCTGCTGGTGGCACTGCCTCCTCTGGCGCTGCTGGAGCTCCTGTAAGGGTGGATACTTGGCCGTGTGGAGTTCAGTCTCAGCATCTGAAGGCCAGCGACAGAAGTGGCTCTGAGAATTACAGGTCTGGAAGGGCCCTCTGGAAGCCGACTAGTGAAACCCTCTGCCTGAAGGCAGGACCTGTCATCATTCGTGACAGAGAAGATTGCTACATTTAAAGCTCTTTTCTCTTCCCAAGAGATGTATCCCATCATAAGCATTCTAACGTTCGTCCATCAACTGTCATGACTATTTTTCTAAGCATTGGTTAAATATACATCACTTATACTTCTACCCTTGAACTTTTTTCTTTTCAGACAACTATTACATCACAGCTCATTTCTGGCTAAATAAGGAGCAGGAACCCGTGGTGTCAAAGCCACATGTGGTCCTCCAGATGCCCAAGTGTGGCCCCTCAACTGAATCCAAACTTCACAGTACTAATCCCTTTGTTAAAAGGATTTGTTCTATAAAATTGGGATTCAGTCAACAGGCCACACTCATAGATCTAGAAGGCCACATGTGGCCCCAAGGCTGCAGGTAAATATTACTTTTAGTCTATTTTTTCTCTGACTTTCCTCCAACATGCACAAGACTCTTCCTTTTAAGTCTCCATTCCTGATAACACCAGTCATAAATATGGCCCAATATCTTCATCGAATTTATTGGTTTATTTTTAGAACTTTCCTCCTTCATTGGTGAGCTAAATCAAAAAAATACAGTCAAATATTTATAGAAATGTGACTCCTAGTTGGAGTCACATTTCCTAATTGGAAATTGAAAATAAATACAGTCATATATCCCTTAATGATGGGGATACTTTCTGAGAAATGCTTCCGTAGTGGATTTAGTCGTTGTGTCAACATCATAGAGCGCACTGACACGAACATAGGTGGTATATGCTACTACACAGCTAGGCTAGATGAGTAGCCCATTGCTCCTAGGCTAAAAACCTGTACGGCATGATGCCATATGGAACACTGTAGGCAATTATAACACAATGGTATTCGTGTATCCAAACATAGAGAAGGTACAGTAAAAATAGGGTATAAAAAATAAAAAATAGTACACCTATATAGGAGGACACTTAACCATGAATGGAGCTTGCAGGACTGGAAGTTGCTCTGGGGGAGTCGTGAGTGAGAGGTGAGTGGATGTGAAGGCGTAGGACATTGCTGTGCACTGCTGTAGACTTTATGAACACTGTACGCTTAGGCTACACTAAATTTATTTTAAAAATAGCTTTCCTTCTTCAATAATAAATAAATTTAGCTTAATGTAATGTTTTTACTTTGCAAAATTTTTTTCAGTGTTTTGACTATTTCATAATAACATTTAGCTTAAAACACATTATACAGCTGTACAAAAATATTTTTTCTTTTTATCCTTATTCTATAAGCTTTTTTCTGTTTTCAAAACTTTTTACTTTTTTTTTAATTTTTAAACTTTTTGTTAAAAACTAAGACACAAACGCACACGTTAGCCTAGGCCTGTTCAGGGTCAGAATTATCAATATCACTGTCTTCCAACTCCACATCTTGTCCCACTGGAAGGTCTTCAGGGGCAATAACATGCATGAAACTGTCATCTCCTATGATAACAATGCCTTCTCCTGGAATACCTCCTGTAGGACCTGCCCGAGGCTGTTTTACAGTTAACTTTTTTTTAATAAGTAGAAGGAGTACACTCTAAAATAATGATAAAGAATACAGTAAATACCTACACCAATAACATAGTGATTTATTATAATTATCAAGTATTATGCACTGTACATAATTGTGCTTGTTATACTTTTATACGACTGGCAGCATAGTAGGTTTGTTTACGCTAGTATCACCACAAACATGTGAGTAAAGTGTTGTGCTATGACGTCAGAACAGCTATGATGTCACTAGGTGATAGAAATATTTTAGCTCCATCATAATTTTATGGTACCACCATCATACATGTTGTCCATCATTGAACAAAATGTCGTTATATGACACATGATAGCACAAAAGTATTCCTCACAGGTAATTTTATGATGATAAGCACATGCTCAATTTACTAATGCTCTAAAAAATAGCAAGTATATGCAGATTCATACAAGTTCACTTACATACTGGATTGTTTGGTGAAAGACTGAAAATGTTCACATGACTTGTTACATTTTAGAGAATGAATTTATTAATATTCATGTTGAAAAATCAAGTTTACAAGCAAAGCTGAATGATAACGCTCTCTAAAGCAAATTATAGTTCTCACTAAATCACTTTCCCTTGGCTTGCATTGACTGATGGAGAGATGAGCACAAAGTAGTTGCTAGGCCATTTTTATTCATACCGCTTTGAAGCAAGTCCAGCAGTGGCAGCACTGCATATAAATGCTTGTCTGTTGAGAGCAATTCTTTTACAACGTAAGTCTAAAGCAACCATATTACACTGAAGGAAATGGTAAGCCTTTTTTCCCCTGCTATTTTAGAGAAGAATGGCAGGAGAAAGAGCTGTTTCATGGTTCAGAGGTGATTATAGAATTGATATTTGTGTTCAATATAAATTTAGTCATGTGACACCTATGCTTTTCATAACTGACTTTTGTAAAATTGCTATTAATTGAAGTTTAAAAAGAGGGTATTTTGTATAATCCATGGAACTTACTTTTATTTAAAAAATAGATAAAATTAATTAATAAATAGTATTTTTAAACAGATGGAATAGGAATTAAATGCATAAAATTTATCATATCTCCAACTAAAATGATCAGAAAATGAACAGAGGCATAAACCTACAAAAAGAAAGAGAGACATAATGTCAACTGAACCTTGAATACATGAACAAACAGTAACTGACATAGAAGAGTGAATAGACCTGAAACCTAGATTTGCAATGGGAAAAGCCAATATTAGGAAGTCTAATTCTTACTACAAATCAAGAAATGTTCAGAAGTTTTAGAGTACTAGATAATTCTCAAGGTGGGACACAGAACAGAGAATGAGGTATTGGTTGGAAGTTTTTATAAACAGTTCTTAGGCCCCTAGATTACCTTTTCTAATGATTCACAGCTAAAAAACATTCCTGACAAACCATATAAGAAGATAATAGATTTAATTCTGTAAATGTTGAAAAGGGAATGAAATACATTTTAGGTTGGATTAGAAGATACAGCTGAAGCCATATTGAAAATAGTGATTAAGTGAAACTCCACAATAAACAGTGAGACTCACAGGCCCATAGGTTTCTAGAATACTGAGAAATAGGCTTGTATCTATCCCACCCCCAGCCATGCAGCAATTGGAGGATTCTTCACCGGAAAAGTAAACAACCCAAAAAGGGATGAAGTCTATGGATACTGATAATTGGGATACCCTCAACAAAAATGCTAATTTTTATAAATCACCTTAGAGTGAAACCCACCACCAAACGGGCTCAGTGACACAGAGTTTCTGATGAGCTATTTAGTGTCTCACTCATGGATGAGTGGACAAGGTTTCATTCTGGTAATGGTAGGGGGGCTAATATGACTAAACCTCCTGCATATAAAAATTATAATCTCTGGACTAAATATAAAAACAGTTATTTAAATGTGCAGAATAACAACCCAAATCAGAAAACTGGAAATGATGTAACTCATAAAAGAAAGGAACTCTTCTGAATGAGATGTATATTTACTTGGCTTTTCCTCTGAGGGCACTTTGTGGATAGCCCAGGACAGCTATAACTCAAGCAGAAAACTTTAGTCTTATCAGCTCAAAGTGTCAGAAAACAGAATTCAGGGCTGGCATAGAGGTTAGAAATTGAGAAGGAAGTTTCAGAAAGAAGGAACAACAGTGGAGAGCTCCAAAAATCTCTATATAAACTGTGATCAAATATTAGGTCATTAAGTATGAAATGCCTGGTTTCAAATCAAAAGTGTAGTTTATTGTATCTCAAAGAAGAAGCAGTACAGTTAATCAAACTATGTGTCTAAACTATCCACACAGTTTTGCCATGCCAAAAGCGAAGAAGCCTGGACAGCGAGTGGTGATGAAATCGCGAAAGGCGTTTTCCACAGCTTGTTGAGAATTGAATATTTTTTCTTGCAAGAAGTGGTCCAAAGCCTGGAACAAGTCGTAGTCAGTTGGTGCAAGGTCTGGTGAATAGAGTGGATGACAGAGAGTTTCCAAATCCAGCTTCTATAGTTTGAGCAGCGTTGTTTTTTGCGATGTG